GTCATAAAAGAGACGTAATTTAGTTTGGTATCGTATTAGATTTCATGGTGATAACATCGTGTTAATAATATTTCGTGGACGATAGTAATTATAGGTGGCTGTGATGAAGCGAAAATATGAAAGGGCGTATAGAGCGAAATGGGAGTAAGATCTTTTACTTTCATTATGGATCTCCAAAGCTAAAGATGATCCAGACTGTGTAACTGCAAATTGGCACCCCGGCTGACCGCTTTAAAGGAGCGTGCCGCTATTAGTAAACATCAAAAAAATATGAGTGAATTCAAAATGCGGAAGAATATTCTCTCAAATGAACTTTATTAAGACAACATATTTATAAACAAACATTTACTGTATATCTTGTACGTTAAACAAGGCATGTGTGATCATGGCGATTGCATTGCATTCAAACCAACGAAAGATATGTTTAAATTTAATTAAAAAAATATAGCATTTATATGTGTATTTTTACTTTTTTTAGTTTAATACAATGGTAAATAAAGTTGGCAGTATTTAGGCATTTTTCACTATAGACTTTGGCAGGATTTGGCAGGTTTTTAACCAAAGTGAGGCAGGATCTGTATTTTAAAGATGGTCACCCTGCCCGTCAGCCGTCAGTGTCAAGTGTCAGAATCATTAAATCATATTCATATAGATTGATATGGATTTTTTCTAGTTCTAGTTTCTTTAGAATGTTTATCTATGATTCAAAAACAGTGATACGTAAATTGTTGTTTTAATTGTTTATATGTTCATTTTAAATTGTCTTAACAACTTTATGGTGATTCTTTTAATTAATTCTAAATAACGTTTGTATTGAATAGAAACTGAAAACATGTCTGAAGTAGTTCTAAAAAACGTAGATAATGCTTGTGAAACAGCTGAAGAGTTTACCAGAGTTTTTTACAAACAAGTGGATAACAGCCGGCACCTGACGTCAAAACTTTACCTTGATACGGGACTGTTGGTATGGAATGGGAACGGAATTAATGGCAATGATAAAATTCAAAAATTCCTTATGGATTTGCCCGGGAGTAACCACGTTCTTAAAACTTTGGATGCGCAACCCATTTCGGAGAATTTGGTTTCTAATCAGTTAACTTTAACTTATCTAATTCAAGCTTGCGGAGATGTAACTTATCAAAATGATAACATTAAAAAGCCCTTCCAGCAGACATTTCTAATAGTAGCTGTGGATGGCAAGTGGAAAATAGCATCAGATTGTTTCAGACTACAAGTTCCCTATAACAGTTAATTATTTTTAATATATCAGTTTCCGTCTTGTTTCATTAAGTAATAATAATAAAAATATGGCTAATTATGCTCATTCTTTTTATTTCACTTGAAAATAAAATTATTAAATATAAACTTATTTCATAACATTACATACACTAGTAGCCTTTTAGAAAGGAGTAATAATTTAGATAGCTTAAATATTATATTAGCATATTAGTAAAATAATCTGCTTTCTGAGAAAAATGATATATTTTACAATTCCAATAAAACCACACAAAATTCTATGTGATAAATCTTTAGCATCAGAAATTTGCAATTATGGCTATATAAAGGAACAGAAAAAAATCAAGCAATTTGTTTTATTAACCTTTTATAAATCAGGCTTTTGTATTATTTTCCATCATAATTTTGAATATGTTCCAAGAAATGTATCACAGTTAGGGCAATAATGTTCTGTCTTTTTAAATGTAGGTAATAAATATGGAATGGCAGCCAAACAGCATAGCATACACCAGCTGAAAGTAAAGTAAAATTTTTTTAGTTTATAGTTCTTAGTGGGTACATAATCCTATTTACTTTAACTTACAAAGTGAAGCCACATATAAAACCAGCAATCATATGAGTTTTCCTCGAATTTGCATATTTCACTTTTGTTAAAAATACTTCTTTACAAGTAGGACAGTTAAATAATGTAGGTCCATCTTTTAACTGTGACTGAACTATAATTGTTTGATGAATTATAGGCTGATTGTTTGTCATTCCCACAGAAGGGGAGTATGGTGGAGGCGGATCTTGATAATCTTGAAGTCTTCCTGTTACTGTAGGTAACTCAACTTCTGTTGTTCTATCTGTATTTCTACCACTGTTACTCATGATAATTTTTCAAATTAGAATTATTAAGTCACAAAAAATTTCAGTGTATTGATTTACAGGTACACACTCAAGTAAAACTGATTTGTCATCAGTCACTTTATGTGTATCTATCTTATCACTAAAAGATAAAAGTAAGTATTAGATAACAACATGCTCTATGTTTCATTATCACATATTATTGACATCATATTATACTGATGAGGAATAAAACACAGCATTAATATGTTTTATTTAATTAAAAGAAAAATGTGTAAAATGTACTAGAATAGTAAAACTTGTAAAGGTGTAATAAATTTGAAAAAATGGTTTTAATGATAGAAATTTAAGCACAATTAGACAATTTCAGTAACTAAAAATTGCTAGAAATAAACAATTTACAATGATAGATATTTCATGTAGCCATTGCTGGTGTATTGTGTCTTACTGGTATATTAAAAAATCACAATAAAATAAGTGTATATACAGAAAACATTCATTATTTAGTACATCTAATTACAATCCAGTGGAAAAACAATAGATAAATAACTACAAAATAAATATACCTAATCGAACAGCCAACACGTCTCTTTCAGCTTATATACAAATAATAAAATCCAATTCCACTAAACAAAACCCTAACGTATAATAACCCTAGACATATTTTTTGTAGAATAGTAATATTGAGAGTAACTCAAGTTTAAGCACTCTATCTTAAAAACCAATTTTTTTACTCATATACTTTTAAATTAATTATTAGAATAATGGTTAATTTCATGTCTTAATTTCTAAGGATAATTTAAACTGATGGTTTAGAAAGTTTGAAACTTAATTACTAATTTTGAAGATATAAAATTGATAATTTTACAAAATTAACTTTTGTCTTCTTATTATCAAATATTTTTTCTGTATTCTAGTTCTACTGAAATATTAGCATATAAATTACTTTTTTTATTATAGCTTGTGACATACTTATAATCATGTCACTATCATCTGAAAACATTGCAGTTTTAATTATTTGGTATTTATGTGTACAATTTTTTTTTCAACTATATAGAAGCTACAAATACGTCTTACAGTCCAATAAGGTAAACTGGTATTTATTGACCAATAATCTTACCGACTACAGAACAAAACAAATCATAAAAGTTACATTGTTTTTTTTTTGGTTCTATTTAATTCATAATTCGTCTCTGCAGAGCTTGAAATGCTATTTAAAGAGATTTATATATTTTGTGAATTATGTTATAAATTATTAAATAAAAAAGGTTATATGAATTGAAAAATAAAATTAAAATATTATTTGTACTAGCCATTCTAATATGGATACTAGGTCAGTCATGAAAGTATTGTATTGTCTTGTTTCTTAATTTCAGATTATAGACCTCTAAAAACAGGCGAAAGCTGAATTACAAAATTCCATGTTATCATAAATAGTTACACATACATATATAATACAGGTAAAGTGTGAAATAACCAAAGATAATTTGAATAATATGAATGCATTTTAATGTAATATTTAAAACGATTTTCTGATGTATCACATTGTTTTTATATGTGACATATAAACTTTAGCACCATCTATATCATAAATAATTTATAAATAGTAATTTATTCAATGGGTCTAGCAGTAATTAATATTATGAGTATGTGTAGTATACTGGCAGTCCATAAGGGAACGAATTTTTCACCAGTGAGAGCACAGAGCAGTGCTTGCAGTGTATATTGTAACACAACCCAATTTTTTATTATTCACCTCACTAATATTAGAAGTTGTTAACTATGTATCGTCAGGTCAGATGTGTTTTTTATGTCTCATGAATTAACTCATTTCGAATACTCATGTTATAAGATGTTGAAAAAGATTTTTAATGTATACACTAAAGGACACATGATTCTCTATATCTTGGTCACATGATATACATACTTGAAACTTAAAACTGTAATTAACCTTTACATGCAAATACTGTCTGGCTGGCTATTTAAATTACTACTCAGTAGAAAAGTAACAGTAACTGTATACAAAAATACACTGCAAAAACAGAGTCAAATTAATATATTATCAAACATTGTTATCTATTTAAGATTTATATAACATCAGGTTTGGTAACCCTGATCAAATATTATCTAAAGCTCTCATTGGCAATATTTAGTCTTAATTTTTATGGAAAATGTGTTAATAAGTTTGAATGGCAAGAAGTTGTGTTTCAGTAGATGTTGAAAACTAACATTTATTTTTCAACATCTACAGAATATTTCTTATATTATTATAAAATTCCCAGTATTCCAGTATTCCTAATAGTAGTTTAAACTACTAATTGTTTTCAGTTAATTCATAGCAACCATAATCAATATTTTGGACAGAAGATTTTATTTTTTTAATTAATTCATTTTTTTTCAACAGATTTTTTATGGCACATATTTTCTTTACTAACAGAAGACAAAAGGTTCCACAGTACATAAAGCAAACTGTTGGAAAATTGCATTTAAGTGATTTAGGTAATCCCAAACCAAGTAAATCAACTACAATCATTAGTGACCTACATTATTCTTGTTTATAAAACAACATGATTGTGTTGCATAAATTTCCTTATAATACCAAAGCAAGGGAAAACAATATATTGTTATCAGCCATTTCATTTATTACTGAAAATATATTTGACAATCGTTTTTTTTCTTAAAAATTAGAGGCTGAAAACTTATAAACATCAAGAAATGTGTTCCAAAACAAAAGATGTTGGCTTTAGCCCTCTCAAAATGGAAGGTGACAGAAGTAAGACATATATAGACTGTAACATTACAACATACTTAGTTTAACATGCATTGCAGATATTTAACCAAAATTATTCATTAAGCCATATTGATATATTGTCAGAAAGTAACACCAACCACACAATACCAAATCACAAGTAATACTTTTAACATTTTGTAGTTTTGCCAATGAAAGTATTGCAATTAGGGCAATAGTGCTCAGCATCCTTAAAATTGTCAAAGCAGTATGGTATTAGACCAAGGCAGCAAAGCGAGCACACCCTGTAAAGTAAAAAAAATATTAAATAAATACATTTATACCAGTAGTATTATTAAACCCCAACTAAATAAGTGGCACATTTTAAATAAGATAGGCTAAGCATAAGTGTAAAAAAAGTGTTTATGGGTTTCTTCTTTAGCATGTAAAACTTCATTGCTATACATAGGCCCCTCCCAATAGGAGGATATACCTGGTATTTCTAAAATAACTTTAAACAATAACATTTATTAGTCTTTGTCTGTGCATACTTTATGTGCAATAATATAGTATTGTTAATGTTTATGTAATATGTGTATTTAATGTTGTATAATAGTATTAAGAAATTGGATATACACTTACATTGTCATAAGGCAGATAGACCCTGCAACTAAATGTGTGTGCCAAGCTGTGGTATATGTTACTCTGGTTGTTACCACTTTGCCACAGTTAAAACAAGTTACAGTTGTTGGTTCAGTTCCAACTGCAGGGGGTAACACTAAACCGATGGGAACACCAGAAGGAGAAGGACCCACTAATCCGGGCTGGGGTTGTGCGTTGGTAACATTCGGCGGATGGGGATAGACTCCAGTAGCAGTAAATTGTTTTGGTTGGGGATAAACACCTGCAGGTGTGGGTTCACCCGGTGGAGCCACGAAGCCATATTGTGGGTTACCAACTACAGCTGAGTACGGTGGTGGAAGGTCATTTGGTCCAGAAGATCCAAGAACAGGTGCATTTGGTACAAAATTATTTGAAGTAGCCATTGGAACGTATATTGTAATGTAAACAGTGCAATGAAAATTGTTAACACTTTTTCACTATTATGAAAATGTATAAATATCACGTCACAATTAATTTATGACTAATGTTGTTTTGTTGTTAGTTGTTACCAACATTTACATTTCAAAGTACTCTGTGATCTCTGCGTCTGTGGTTTATACTTTAGGTTCAGAAGAGCTAGAACCCAGAGCCGTAAAGCCAGTTTAAACAAAAAAAAAAGGTTATACCGTAGAGAGAGAACATACTCCCTCTCATATATGGAGTGTAGAGTAGAAGGAGAACCATCTTATAAGGTGCGAAAGTTGAAAAAGTGTCCCAATATATACTGAAAATAGAGGTTCCAAAACCTACCACAATAGCGCTGGCGTCTGAAAAACTACGATATGAATATAGCTGTTGTAGACGGAGTGAAGTCAGCTGAATTAAAATATTTAAAAAATTTCATGACTAGAGTAGTTAGTGAAATGCCAGTATACAAAACCTCAACTATTTACGTAGTACAAAACCAAGCGGATTGGTCGGTCCTTGTTTATTTCTCCATCTTATTCTAATAAATTTTGGCGCTTTTTTTTTAATTTATCCTATGCTACTACAGCGCTACCCTTATTGGACGCGTTTTTAGGGACACTTTTCATATACAGAGATGGTTCTTCTACTCTACACTCCATACTCTCATAGATATAGTACTCCCTCTACGGTTTATACAAAGGTTCTCTGTGGTCTGTGGTATCCTCTTAGTTCTCTACAGTAATCTATGCTCTTAGTAGTATGTGCTTTCATGTGCTTTTGTAATCACAAACGAAAGAGTATAATAACTGTCCTCACAAACTACGAGGGTGGATTGAAAAGTACTCGGCCTAACACAGATCCATTCAATTCTAAAAATCAAATCTACGCACATTATTTAGTTCAGTTCAGACTAGTTCATTGTGTGAAGTTCGAAACGTGTGCGATAATTAGTTATGATTTTATAAATTTATTAACAAAGTAATCGGACATTATTTCCGCGAATGGAGCAAATCGAGCAGCGTGCCGTCATTAAGTACCTCCATTAGAAGGGGCTATCATCAAAAGCCATCCATGATGACATGGTCAGTACATTAGGCGATTGTGCTCTGTCATATTCATCCGTCAAAAATGGATAGCAGAATTTAAGCGTGGTAGAGAGAGTGTGAAAGATGAACCCCGCTCTGGAAGGCCTTCGACGTCAACTACTGACGAAAATATTAAAAAAGTACTTGATTTAATAATGGGAGACCGCAGATTAAAAATTAGAGAGATAGCCGAGATTATAGGCATCTCTTATGAACGAACTCAAAACGTCATTGTCAACGAGTTGGGTTTCCACAAGGTGTCTGCGAGGTGGGTTCCGCGACTGCTTTCAGTTGAACAAAAAAGGACGCGATTGACTATTTCACGCGACTGTTTGGAGTTATTTGAAGCCGATGCAGATGATTTTTTGAATCGTTTTGTTACTATGGACGAAACATGGGTTCATTACTGTACACAAAAACAAAACAACAATCAAAACAGTGGAGAAGACCTGGTTCACCACCCCCTAAATAGGCTAAGTCGATTTTGTCGGCAAATAAGATGATGGCTTCAGTATTCTGGGACTCGAAAGGTGTGATTATGATTGATTATCTTGAAAGGGGTCAGAATATTAAACTCTGATTACTACTGCACCTTACTACGTCGTTTACGAGAGGAAATAAAAGAAAAACGTCGAGGAATGCTCAGAAGAAAAGTCCTGTTTCATCAAGATAACGCCCGTGTTCACACGTCAGTACAGTCAATGGCTGAAATTCACAACTGTGGCTTTGAACTGTTACCGCATCCGCCGTATTCACCTGATCTGGCACCATCAGACTTCTTTCTGTTCCCTAACCTAAAAAAGCACTTGGGAGGGCAAAGATTTTCGACAAATGACGAGGTCAAAGCAGCTGTAGACGCATATTTTGACTCTAAGGAAGAATCATTTTTTTTCAACGGTCTAAATGCTTGGAAGGGGAGGTGGCAAAAGTGTATTGAACTTGATGGTGATTATGTAGAAAAATAAAAATATAACTGATTTAGTATTTGTTTATTTTCTTGGTTAGGCCGAGTACTTTTCAATCCACCCTCGTATATAGGTAATAAGAAGTGCCTAGCGCACTTAAAATATTATAGAATGTATTAGGTACCTGAACCTAGCCCCACTTGGATTTGTTTTGATTTTGAGTTTTTCTTATTTTTAATTAATTGTTCGTCGTTTGTTCGTTATTGTTCGAAAATAAAAATTGTTTGTTCGTCTTTCAATTATTTATAATTAATTAAACAAATTTCATCCTTAACAATAAAGAAAATAGGACTAGAACTAGACTTATTGTTATTCGAACGATCAAGTAAATTGTTTTCTAAATCAAATGATGATTATTACATTGCAAATCGTTTCCCAAACTTTGAAAACGAATAGTTGAGGAGCTTGATTATTTACTCTCTTGCGGAGGTATGAAATTCAGGCTGTACCCGATTCTTACCATTGCGATCCGGAGTTCCCTGTTTTTAAGTTACTAAAGCAGAGAATAAGGGACAATGATCTTATTGTTACTAAAGCCGACAAGGGCAATACTGTTGTTATGGACAATAGCGGGTATAGCCAGAAGGTTAACGATGTTATCCAAGGTGATGACTTTGAGCTTTTGGAGTCTGACCCCACCAAAAAGTTTACTTCGGATATTAAAGTATGTATACAACAATCATTATATATTTTTCCCGACCACAACGTGTCTCGCAGCAGTCTTGTTCCAATGAATCCTCAAGCACCCATTTTATATTGGTTACCTAAAATACATAAATAACATGTTCCTATTCGTCCAGTTGTATCATATATTGGTGCACCAGCTTATTTCCTTGTTAAAAAGTTAAACTTCCTTCTGCGGGAGAAATCTGGATTCAAACCAACTTACAGCCTTACAAATAGTTTAGATCTCATTTCCAAGATTAAATATATCCGTATTCCACCTAAATCCATGTTGTTATCTTTAGACGTTGATAGTCTTTTCACAAATGTCCCATCCCCAGACTGTATGCGTATACTCGCAGATCTCTTTAATAAACGTCGTCTACATCCCGGGGAAACAAATGATCTTTTAAACTTAACCTCTCTCTGTATGAAACAAAACTATTTCCGGTTTAATAACCACTTCTATCTACAAAAAGAAGGGCTAGCCATGGCTTCCCCTCTAAGTCCTCTTATGGCGGACATTTTTATGGATAATTTTGAAAAACAACACATAGTTGTCAATCAAAATGTTTTATACTATTATCGATATGTAGACGACATAATTATTTGCTGAACTGGCACAAAGAGGCAACTGGATGTTTTCGTTAATAAAATTAATAAAATCCACGACAAAATTAAATATAAGCTTGAATTGGAACAAGATTGTGTGCTTAATTTCCTCGACTTAACAATAACAAGGAAAGAGTCGTTACATGAATTTCAAATTTATCGAAAGCCAACTCATACCGACACGGTCATTCCTGCGTCATCATGTCATCCGTGGCGACATATATTAGCCGCTTTTTATTGTTATACTAATCGTTTGTTTACTGTACCGTTAAGTAAAGAAAATTATTTAAAAGAGCTTAATGTGATTTAACTAATTGCGGTCGCTAACGGTTATAACAAAAACTTGTCGTACGCAATTCTCTGTACGCGGTTAAACCTCAAAGTGATCGTCGATATGTTGGCAGTTTGACCTACTTAGGTTCTATATCTGAAAAAATAGCTAATACTCTTCGACAGAGTGGCGTGTACGTGGCATTCAAAACAAGCAATTCACTTAGGAATAACTGTAATTATAAAGATAAGTTAGATATTCGTCTAAAGTCTGGTGTTTATAAACTTGTTTGTGACGAATGCCAAGCCGTTTACGTGGGTCAGACTGGTCGCAACTTCGAAACACGTTATAAAGAGCATTTAGCCACGTACAGGAATTGTAACCCTGATAAATCACATTTTGCTAAACATCTCTTAAACACTATCCAATGACCACTCCTTTAAAGTCTTACATACTTGTAATAAAGGGCTACGACTGTGTGTGCTGGAACAGTTAGAGATATTAAAAAATAATAACGGTAATGTTGCACTGCTGAATGAACAAACAAATGTTTCCAACTCTTCTCTCTTAAACATGTTTAAGCCTGCTCCTTGATGATATATAGCCTCACAACATGGTCGTTTGTCACCCTCACGGTGCGGTGGTCAGCGTTTGGTTGTAGGGTAGGCGGACGTTTCGCAATAGTTTGTTGTTAATTTCACAGCAAATATCGGCGTACGTCAGGCGGTGATTGATCGCATGACGTAATCGCTCGCTATATAATTGGAGCGCGGTTGCGTCAGCAAGTAGTATAAATAGCAGTAGTTTCGGCTCGCCGCTCACTTAGCGGCCAGCCTCCGCAGAGTCTACTTCACCTGAGGATGACTCGTGTAGAGGCAAAACACGTGTCGTATTTTCGAGGTTGGTGTGTCGTGCCTAGTGTGCTGGTGCTGGGGGTGGTAGTGCTGGTGCTGGGATTAACGGCGGCGGGTATAGTGCGCGCGATTGAGGGAGGGTGGGAGGTCCCCTTAAAACTGGGCAGGACACATAGTTTTCTTTCTTTACGCGGAATTAAGCAAATTAGTTTATAACAACCCCATTAAAATATATATAGATAACAGATAAGATTCATTATGGCTGATAAGGATAGCCTATGTAAACAAATAATGTTCTATAATGAACAGAGATAGATGTAATTTAGACAAGGAAAGCACTAGCCTCCTATCGATGTGATAAAGGTCGTGTAGAATTTCCGCAAAGTAACGCCTGATTCTATTCGTATTGCATAGTTGATTACTATGTAACACATGACTCTATATTAATCTAAAAACAAACTTTATGAAATTAAATCTCAACCGAGGATACGAATCCCGAACTTTCGGTCTACATTATATTGAATA